TTCTTAGAAACTGCCTTTTCAAATATCTGAAGAAGACATTTCCAACAGCTACCTTACGTACCACATTCTTCAGGAGACAGTTAATCCAGTCTAGCGTTAAGGATAAGATACCGCTTTTGGCCTTTTCAGTGTATATTTATCAATTTGCTTGCTCGTTCGGAGCAAAGTATAACGGTCGTATGCAACTTTAAGTCCACAAACATATTCTGGAACACTGTCCAGCTTGGTTAGTCAGACAAGAAAAGAAGAATAGCAGCAGCTCTATCCTCGAACACCTTGTCATTTCTGGACATCGAGCACCCCCGCTTGCATGAATGCTTCAGAGACTCCCTCAATATCGTACAGAGGGACTTCGCATACGCCATCTGTACATAGCTGAATCATTAGTTATTCAAGATCTGAAACCTGAACTCTGCATTCAAAAGCGATACATACATTCTCTTGCCCTACCATGGCCAGAGTAAATTACTTACTATAATTTTGCTTCTTTCTTTTTTATTATGTAAGTTCACTATTATTATTGTTATTGTTATTAGTACTATTATTTTATTATCGTTATTATTACCATCATCCACATTTTATTACCACTTTATTACTGTTTATTAATAACACTGCTTTTTCATACAAATTTTATGTAAAAAAACTTCATCGTCTTTCCACTAGTTCCTGTTCATTCTACACGAGCTTACTGATTAGGCATTATCTCACACTTGTTGCTTCATGCAAACTCTGCCTCTTTTCTTACACCTTACATTAGGTAATACAATTTTCGACGACTACGTTTACCAGTATTTGATTGGTCTAAAGATTTATTTGCTAAATATAATTGTGATTATTGTACAGCTCATGAAAAAGAATCGTCGAAAAGAAAATTTCCTTCTTCGCTCTTTACGTCTCTTTCTTATGACTCAATATGGGATTAGTTCGTCTATTCAATTTTATTATACTGAACGAATTCCGTCCCCTTCTTATTGCAACTGTCTATATTCCAACCTAGAGGCCAAGTGGAAACATCCTAGTATAACAATAAGTCGACTGGATGATCTATCTCCTACATTATTACTCTGGATAGGCAATAATGAAGAGTCTTAAATAGGGTTAGCATAAGTTTCCCAATTCTTTCTTTCTTAACTGTTTTTGAATTGTTGTAGGTCCGTGAGAATGTCTATTTTACAAACTTAATATTCGTTTAATTGGTGGATGGTGACTAGCAGTGCAATCCAAGATGCGCATTTCATCCTATTCGGGACTCGTCAGCTATATGTACGTCATCGAAGCATCTGCACAAGAAGCCAACATGTGAACCTGAGACCGAGCACTTCGTTCCAGTCAATCGACAGGAAAATCTAAAAGTCAATTAAATAATTTGTGAACTATGTTTAAAGTCGAACGATGACACCCATTATGAGAATTAAATGCATCGAACTGTTATCACCATATTTGACATAACTTGTGAACATATGGGTGCCTCTCTATACTAAACGAAACCTGATCCGTTCATTTAGTCACAGAATATGCAACATTCTCAGTCCTGACACTATAGAAGACGACCTGAACACTGAAAAGAACTCCTCAGACGTTCCATCATAAAATCCATGAAGCCAAAACCGCTGAAACAGCCCTCACCTCCTGCTCCTGAAATACTTCTCTGCCTGCATCGTCAGTCCAGTAGAGACATACAGGAATAAATACTGAGAAATCGTCTGTCGTGCTCACTGAGTAAACCTTCTCCACTGCTGAACTTCAACTAACTTACTCTAAAAAAATCACTGATTCGTTGTTGTCTGATTATTTGGGGTTTAATTATTAGAAGGTATAGTGTTAAAAAATCAGTTTCACCATGAATATATGCTAAATAAACGAATTTTTGCTTATTGAAACTATTAGAATCTATATCGAACATATTCTCCAGACGTTTAACAACACTATTTTGGATTATTGTGAAGACTCTTGTCCTCCTTCTAACACTAAATCTACTGAATCGCTGCAACGTTCGCCAGCAATACCATTTCGGCCTACATGTATCTGAGAAGCACAATCTCAAAGTTTACGATCCTAGAGATTCACCATTCATTTTCATTGGAGGTCATAAGGGTACAGGTAAATCAAGTTTGTTCATTATATTGCTGAAGAAATGACTAGCACTCCTCTTGACTAATTATTTAATTGACTTAATGTAATAAAGACAAACTACTTATAATTCTAATTAAATATTACTTTCTAATATAGGTCTCATAAGTGCCTTATTGAAAGAATTCTGACGACTCTATCATTGCATTTTGACTGAACACTAGTAAGTAGTGTGATGTGTTTAGTCCCATCCACGGTGCAGACTGAATTCTATCAGTCAGGTTTGCATTGTGGCCACCAATGTAGGTAGCTCGCCATCGTGGTGCACATTGATTTGGTGACATCAGATAGCTGGAGGCAATCGGCGGGAAGCCTTGGCTGCACCTAGGTTTCGTGCTATTCGGCACTCACCAGTCAACAAGGCGTATCTCCAACCTCGAGGGAACTCATGTCCATTCTGAGATACGAACCAGCGTCATCCAGTGCCACCTGCAGTTAGAGACGTTACCACAGAGCTATTCGGGCTGGCTTGCGATTGACCTCTTATAGGACTGTAGTAGGTCTTTTGACTGGACACTTGTATTTAATGTTCAACTACCTAATATTATCAAATCACTGTGCACCGTGATGGCGAGCTATCTACAATGGTGGCTACATTGCAAACCTGACTGATAGAATTCAGTCTGCACCAAAGATAGGACTAGACACATCACGCTAGTTACTAGTGTCCAGTCAAAGTACCCACTACAGTCCTACAGGAGGTCAACAGCGGGCCAGCCCGAATAGCTCTGTGGTAACGTCTCTGACCGCAGGTGGCACTGGTTGACGCGGGTTCTAATCCCAGAAGGGACATGAGTTCCCTTGAGGTTGCAGATACGCCTTGTTGACTGGTGAGTGCCATCTAACACGAAACTTAGGTGTAGCCAAGGCTTCCTGCCTATAGCCTCCAAGTATCTAATACCTATCACTGCTTTTAACTCACTTTATAGGTAAAAGTGTTAAAACATACACTACCTGTGGTTCCCAACAGAAATAGAGACGAAGCAAGAAATATACAATAGTTTATCTTTAAGCAAAGATTAATCAAGCTGATTTTGTGGCTCCCTATTTAATGGAATTAGGAACCATGAGAAAACTTTACCCTAGGACAGGTTGTTTGTACAAAGCCTACGTCAAATAACTCGTGAAAACTGTAACAGTAGAATGTATCAGTGATTTGAGATTCCATCAGAGAGACTAACTAGGAAATAAGTTTTCAACAAATTTGAGTCAGACTGTATACGTAAGGAAATAACACTTTTAAATATTTTTTCAGTGCAGGACTTAATCTAAATACCACCAACAGCACACGGAAATGCCTGCCAGTAGACGCCACTCCTCCCACGAAAGAAGAAATCACGAATGCTATCAAGCTACTGAAGTCCAGATGGGAAGGTGGCAGAACCAGACGGCATTCCTCCTGAAGCACTAAAGACGGCTCCAGAGACTACGGCAGATATTCTCACTTCATTACTGCAAAAAGTTTGGAAGGAAGAAAAGTTACCTACTGATTGGGAGAAGGGCTACCTCATCAAACTGCCAAAGAAGAGCACATTCGTCACATAACAAAACATAGAATAACAGTCAAACCTCCACCTCAACTTCCTGGATTTCGAAAAGGCCATCGATAGCGTTGTCTGAGAAGTAATTTGGAAACCACTTCAACATTACTGCTTGCAGTGATCAAATCTTTATCAGCTTCATTTAACAGCTGCCTATATGATAGTGCCACGTATCAGGTGGTCCAAAAGAGAAGACTCACCGAGGCGTTCTAATTGAATAGAGGAGTGTGACAAGCTGGCTGCCTATTATCACCAGTTATACTCTTAATTGTGATGGACTGGATTATGCGCCAGACTATGAAAGAAGAGCAAGAAGTCAGGAATACGCTAGACAACCGATAAGTCGAATCTAGAAGATCTGAATTTCGCAGATGATATATGTGTAATGTCCCACAAACTGGAAGACTTGCAGGTGAAAACCAACAAACTGGCTGGAGAAGCAGTCAGTAAAGACAAGACTGTAGGTGATGAAAATAACCAATCAACAGCGACAATAACCAGCACCAATCACCATCAACGGGAGAGATTTAACAGAGGTTGCCTCCTTCACTTATCTGGGAAGCATCGTTTCAACTATAGGCGGAACCGACGAAGATTTCAAAGCCAGTCAGAATCGCAAAGGCAAGATACTCCTTCATTAACCTGAAACCAATCTGGAAATCTTCAACACTGAGCATAAGGAACAAGATTCGGATTTTCAACAGCAATGTCAAATCGGTCAGTTCTTCTATACGGGTCAGAAACTTGCACTGCGTGTCATGAAAAGGATTTCAAACAGGTTGCAGACTTTTACCAACAGCTGCTTTCGCTGGCTCCATACTGAAGATCAAATGGCTGACCAGAGAGAATAAGCAACAAGAAACTATGGGAACAAACCAATAAGCAAGATCCGATCGCTCAACAAATATGTAGGTGAAAGTGGATATGAATCGGGTATGCATTGAGGAGGTCGTAGAATGAAATCGCACGCCATGCCCTCGAGTGGAGTCCCGTTGGCAGTCGTCAATGTGAGGGTGACATGTAGGAGATCGTGTGAGGCAGAGATGAGAGAGTTTGGTCAATCGTGGACCCAGCTGAATAGGACGGCATAAAACCGAACAAAGCGGAGACGTGTTGCTGAAACCCTATGTTCTACTAGGAACGCAAGGGAATAATAATATAATATAATACTACTTAAATGAAAGGCAAATACTTCCCGGTTCGGTTTATTTCATTTTAACTAATTCTACCGAGTAACCTTTATATATCCAGATAATATTTCAAAATAAACATTTCATACATTTTCCTCAAGGTGTTGAATTATTACATCGTCTGCTAAATACACATCCAATGGTACACTGCAGGTCAGAATCAACTATAATTCAATTGTTGCAGTACAGAAGAAACAAAGAATATGATGTAGAAAGACTGCCGAAATCTGGTATTACTTCTGATGTGTTAAACGAAGCTACAGCAGCGTTCATATCTACAGTTATTCAAGAAATGGGACCAAAAGCAACACAACTCTGCCTAAAAGATACAACATACTTTCAATTGCTCGATGTATTAGATGATTTGTTTCCAAAGTCAAAATTCATTTTAATGGTTAGAGATCCAAGGGCTGCTGTAGCATCTGTTATAATGTAAGTTAGTTCATACGCTTAATCGTCAAGTAATCTGGTTAATGGGTAATACACACAAAAACGAACTGAAACTAGTTCATGAAGAATATTATGAATATATGTGTAAAATTTGGGGACTGTGGTAGTAAGTAATTCCATATTAGTTTGTTCATAAGATATATCACACAGTAATGATACAGTATTATGTACTGGATGACACAGTTTCGAACACAATTCATTATTGTTCATAATCATTCCATCAATTATAATCACACGACTTCGAAACTTCAGTTTCAAAGTTTTCTTTGTTCTCTCCAGTTGGTCATCGTAGGGGTAGTAGAATTCTCTAGATGTCCAACTGGAGAGGTGTTGAATCATTCCTATTACACGCATTCTCTCTCAGTTGATTCGATAAACAGAGCTTCCATTGCCATCAATCTCCCTCCACCGTGCTCTTGCATTAGATTTTGAAACTGTCATCTTATCCCATCCAGCCTATTGTATGGTTGTGTGTAATTGCATATGATGAGTGCTATAGCTGAACCATTCTCCAGATTTGTTATCTTATTCTAGTCAACTAATCTACTTATAATTCTAATTAAATATTACTTTCTAATATAAGTCTCATTAGTGCATTATTGAAAGAATTCTGACGACTCTATCATTGCATTTTGACTGGATAACAGTAAATAGTGTTATGTATCTAGCCCTATCTTTGGTGCAGACTGATTTCTATCAGTCAGGTTTGCATTGTGGCCACCATTGTAGGTAGCTCGCCATCATGGTGCACATTGATTTGGTGATAATAGATAGTTGAAGGCAATCGGTAGGAAGCCTTGGCCGCACCCAGGTTTCGTGCTAGTTAGCACTCACCAGTCAACAAGGCGTATCTGCAACCTCGAAGAAACTCATGTCTCTTCTGGGATGCAGTGATGCAGTCAGAGACTTCACCACTGAGCTTTTCGGGCTGGCTCGCGATTGAGCTCCTGTAGGACTGTAGTGGGTACTTTGATTGGACACTAGTGTCTAGTCCTTTCTTTGGCGCAGACTAAATTCGCGAGCCCAAATAGCTCAGTGGTAACGTCTCTAACTGCAGCACAGGCTGGTGACGCAGGTTCGAATCTCAGAAGGGACATGAGTTCCGTCAGGGTTGCAGATACGCCTTGCTGATGAGTGCCAACTAGCACGAAATGTAGTCGCAGCCAAGGCTTCCTGCCAATAGCCTCCAACTATCTTATAGGGATAAAATTAGTAATTAACCTCATATCCAGTAAGTAATTCATTAATCCAGCTGATGAAAATCTATAAAGTTAATTATTACATAAATCCGAATCTCTATATATATTACAAGCGTGTCAAAATTACTGATTACTCAATAGTATGTAACTTATTTTAGTGTTTTCACCGCTTGTATTGATCATAACACTGATGCTCAAACTGCTATCGCAAGAAAAATCTAGCTTGTAGAAACAGGTACTGAAACTTTATTTATTTACATTTTGAAAGAGTTGTCACATTATTGATTTATATAACAAGTTTAGCAGTTATTCCCAGTGAAGACTGACTCAACAATAATCAATATTTATTCAGAATTTTAGACATGAGGTGATTCATAAAGTCTGTGTGAAACTCACATTTGAAAGGAGAACGGTGAGAAGTGAATCTTTTTTCTGTCAAATTATTCGTCTGTCATGCTTAACAAAAACACGAAACAACACCTTGTGAAATATACAATGTCTGATAGGCTTTTAACTCAGTTGTTTCAATATCTATCAAAATATGATTTAAATCTGATTTTCATTCCATAATCTATGAACTTAGTCTTTGGTGAACACTAAAATAACAAGTAAATTGATCTTTACATGTATTTACGTGAGATTTATTCTTCAAAATTCAGTAAAGAAGTACATCAAATGATTTTCACTACTGTCAATTAATTAAATAATTAAGTAATTAATTTTCTTCTCTGATATATACGGGAAAGTTAAGGCTCTTTCAACTGATGTCAGGTTTGGCATTATCACCGACAGTCTTTGTGATTCATTGAGAGACAGTTGTGAGTGCAAGGGTATCTCGCGTTTTCTTGTCTGTTCAACGTTTTATTAAAGATTCATATGTTTTCATAAACCACCCCTTACTTATGTTTTCAACCCCTCTCTTATCATCTCTTTATCTTATCACATCTTCCTTAAAAGCGTGTTTCATTTACTTCCCTTACAATCTAGCATTACTTAATCGGTACCTTTGTTTTTCTTAGCCTTTATCGACTACTTCTACCTGAACATTTGTTTATTTAATCATGCTGTTTTTCGTCATTCTTGTCATCACAGATCGCCTCACGTTTCTATCCTTGTTATTGATAGAACCATTATAATAATAATTATTATTACTGTTTTTATCATTACTACTATTATGACTTATTGCACAATTTATATTCACCATCTTATTTTCCTATAGACAAAACGCCATGATTTGTTTATATTTGAATTTTTATTTGTTAAGTTATGTAGGCATATTAGAGTTAAGCTTGATGAGATCTAATTGAAAACAATATTGTTCGCTTAAATGTGTTGCTCTAAATTTTACTATGGGAATATTTCATATATATTTAAAAGAGAATATAGTTACAATGCTTCAGCTGTACTGTATGAAATAGTCATAGAAAGACCTTCTGCTGAGTCACGTGATGTTCAACAGATACTCGATATCAACACAAAAAGGCATCGTTTATCTTAAACATGTAATGAATTTTCACATATTTCGGAGAGTCGTGCCATACAAATACTTATATAACAGGTGACAAAGAGAGGAGAGGATAAAGATTTTATCAATGTAAGTGAAAAGTTTTATGGGTTGTGATCAGAGATAAAAGATGGGAAAACAAAGTACAGAAAAGACAGAACGAACACATAATAATAAATAAAGTGAATTTTCTATAGTTTGGTTTGTAAGGGTTAGTTTTGTTTTTAAGAGTTGATCACGGATTGATATCAGTTAGAGAACCATTGAAAACCACCACGGAGTGCTGGACAGCTGTTTCATCCTAGTTCCTTGGGGAATCATCGGAACCCAGGACCTTTCGGTTACAAGGCAAGCTCGTATACCATTCAGCCAATGGGACCCAATTCAATGGCTCGTGAATTCTAACTTCTACCAATTCGTGACCAGTGAGGTCCATCTAGATGTCACATGTGAGGATGGATGTCCCACCTACGAAAATGTTTGGGGTCGCGTTAAATCACGAATTGGTAGAAGTTAGAATTCATGGGCTAGCCACTGAAACGGGCTCGGTCCCAGTGGCTGAATGCCATACGAGCTTGCCTTGTAGCCGGAAGGTCCTGGGTTCGAACCCTAATTGGTGCGCACTGCCGATGATTCCCAAACTAGGACAACGGGAACAGCTGTCCAGTACTCCCTGGCTTTCCATGGTTCCCTAACTGCTATCAATCCATGATCAACTCGTACAAAGTTAATTTTGGCACATTACGTCATCTAACAGTTGTTCAGTGAAATTTAGGAAGGTTTTGTACACTATTGATATAAGTATAAAACTTGGGCACTGTGGTAGAGTATAATTCCATAATGGATAAGATTTTATTTTGATAAATCACACAGTGTAGTACAGTTATATTAACTGATGACGTTTCGAGCACAAACTATTGCTCATAATCATATCAAGTTTGATATGATTATGAGCAATAGTTTGTGCTCGAAACGTCATCAGTTAATATAACTGTACTACACTGTGTGATTTATCAAAATAAAATCTTATCCATTATGGAGTTTTGGACACTACATGTCGTAGTGTTCAACCATTTATCCAATCACTTCTTGCGCAACGTTATCTAAAGCGTTTTCAAAGTCGATTAAAATCCATGTCGTTCTGGGTGGGAGTTTTGCATCTATACCATGTTTTAGTCTCTCCAGGATGATGCAAATTAATATTTTAATTGACCTAGATAAAAGCATGATTCTATGTCAGTTTCCGCTAAGTCTTACTTCTCTCCCATTCAGCAGTTTAACAAGGTGGCCTTTCTTCCAATCGTGAGATACTTTTCCTACTTTCCAGTTATCTGCAGTAGTCGCTTGAGAATATCTACTTAGGGACTGTGAGTCTGTCTTCAGTGTTTCTGAGGGGATTCCACCTGGTCCTGCTGCCTTCTGACTCCCAGTAACTTTCTGCTCATAGTTGTGTCAAGTATTCCGATGATCTAACCATTTCAATATCTGTTAACTCCCAGTTAGACTGTACTAAGATGAACAGCTTTCCATCAGGAGTTAGCAAATGGTCTTCGTCAAATGGCCTAAAACTAAATCCTTCCAAATGTCAGACTGTTCATTTCAGTTTCCGATGTAAAAGAAAGTTAAATGAAGCTGTTGGTTCCTATGACTGTTGCAAAATTGATGATAGTGTAATAGAAAGCAAGTCTGAAATTAAGTATCTTGGATTAATACCTTCTTCTGAACTATCCTGCTCTTCCCATGTCTTAGTGATTCCTAAAAGAATATTTTTACATTAGGAAGTAAAGGCACTAAGACATAACTCAACCCCTCCTCTTACAGTTTGTCAACTGGTGCATCTTACCTATTCTTCTTTATTGTTCACCCTTATTCTCTCCTGCGTTGCTTGAAAAAGACTATGTCATGCTTCATAGAACTCTGAAGACTGTCAGTAGGACGAGTGGTATCCCATTGGGCCATATCGTTGACATTGTCATTGATAGGCACTTGATTTCATGCAACAAATTTACTAGTGGAATCTTGTCAGACTATGAGAATTCACTTTACCCGCAGCTCTAACCTTGTGTCTCCTCCTCAGGTAAAACAAGAAGTCTTCTCAGAAGACTTTATGCACGTACATCTCAGTATAAAAATTCCACTATACCATATTTCGCTGCACGTATTTTATATGATGAAAATAGTATCAGGCATGAACTAACTGACTAATCTTCTTTACATTACTAAATAAAACATCTTCTCCACCCTTGCAACATCAACGTTTGTTTTTATTGTACTTCTTATATTTATAATCCTCTCACTTTTTGTCTTTATTTGTTTATTTTTTCATAAGTGTGAACATTATTTAAGCTGTGTTATGGCTGTTAATTTTGTTATTTCCCCTCACTATACTGTATCAACAGAATATTATATTCAGTAATCTATAACATGCTAAAATTTTCAAACTGATTCGACAATACTGTTTGAAACAAACTCACTGTTATTATTATTATTATTACATTTAATATTCTCAATTCGTACTTCGATTATTTTTGACTTTATACCGTAAATGTGGATAAATTCCTGTGGTTAATTTCATTTATATTTTGAGTAAATTAGATGCAATATTGTGACAAATGCTGAAAATTCCATTCTGTAATATAAGTACAGTTTCTGGAACAAAGTAGATTATTACTATTATTATTAATAATGTATTTGTAATGATAATAATGCGAACCAGTTAAATAAGTTATTATAACTAACCATTACTAACATTATTTCTTTTCTCACCATATAGCTTCATTATTATCGTATGATGATAATTCTCAACTGGTGTCTATTTCCTTCCTTTCTGTTATTACCAGCCATCATTTCTATCTATTTCCCACTTTTTTTGTAATCCCATTCAACTCACTAGGTTTTTTTCATACTCCTCATAGTTATCCTGTGACCCTACAACTTGAAACTAATCTCATTTTAAATCTACAACCACTCCTAACAATGAAGTATACACACTGCATAGGGGGTTATCATTGTAGTGATTAGCAATTTTAATTCATCCTGTGTATAGTGAAAATAATTTTGTTCCTTGAAACCGCAATTTTATTCATGTTATGGAAACATTTCAAGCTTTTACGGTGAATATCCATTGATTTCTGAAAATTTTCTGGATTGTTTCAATGTTGTAATAATTTAATAATTCCCATTGTAGCATTAAGAACACAATATTCAGCGAAGAGACTCTTTTCAACGAATTTATTATCAAGCCGTACAATCATATATATATGGTCTTTTAAGAAATTATATCCGGTGAGGGAATTAGGTCAAAGGTGTGAATACATGAAATAATAATAATAGTTGTATGAAATGCAATTAAAATATTTGTGGTTATAGTCATAGTTTAATGTCAAGTGGCAAAATAATTAATGTCGTATATAGAATAATACATAAGGTGTATAGATGTTGGAAAGGGGTACATAATTATGAGATTAGTAGAGGAATATAAAATGTTATATAACATGGTGTGAAATTTGACGGGATAGAATTCAATATTATAAAAATAAAATATATAAAAATTAATAACTTTGGATTTAGAATGACAAGTGGGTCAAGTGGAAAAGATTCAGAGTGAGAATAGCAATAATAATAATAATGATAATAATAATCGTAGTAATAAGGGAAAGGTACATAGGATAACTAAATAAACAAAATAAATAAATGTCTATCCCTCTACGGCCAAGGCATAAGTAGGGATTATACATACTTCTTTTGTACACAAAGGTCTGGCTTAAAGTCATGAATTGTCAAGGCCTCAGCTGTCTTTAGAAGTCTGTAACGAAGAAAACGCGGGAAGTTAGCATGGATTCTATAAATGATCTTGAAATCATGGTCAGGGTTGACGGAGTGACAGAAGTCGATCGAGTGTTCCACAATAGAGCTTCGCACACACTTCCTTTCTCCCTTGTAAAACCATTCTGGAATGTGTTCTCGTATCCATGTGGAAAGTGTCCTCTGGCTACGGCCAATGTACCTAGCTCCACAAGATCAGGTGAACTGATAGATGCACATGGAGGCGGCCAGACGGCGTTGCTTATCTTTTACTAAGATGAAGAACAACTTGTGGCTGGTAATTGTCATTTGTAATTTTGTTGCAAATACATAATTTGAAGTCAGTTTATTTGAAGGTCACCTGTCGATGGACATTTGTACCAATAGAAATATGTAAGCAGTCATCATATATTTGTAATGACTAATGTCAAATTTTCAAGTATTGGTTTTTGTAGGGATTTTGTTTGATTGCATGGAGGATTTCATCATGAAATCCTAAAACATAATAATTCAGCTAAGATAAGAATGGTTGACCCCAAGAAGATAAGTAATTTAGAAAAAAGCTCAGCAATTGTACTGCATCCATTAACACACAGTCACACAGTAGGGTGGGAGAAGGTTAAAATTCTAAGAAGTAATAAAGGTAGGTGAGTACAGAGATTTGTTACTGAATCCTGGTTCGTTGAGTCTACACCCAACACACGCAACAGAAATGACTCAATACGAGTACCAGAGATATGAAAAATATTATTACCACCAGTCAGTCAAATCAGAGGAGGATAATAAATAATCTTAAAATTCTATTCCAATTCACGTACATTATAACGTTCTAACAAGTTGCTTATTTTGACTATAAAGACACTCGTCATATTTCTCATCTAATTGTATTTGATCAATAACACTCATGTTATTATTTCTGAATGTACATTATCTTAAAGTGATTTTTATTCAAATGTCTAATCATCAGTTTCACTCCTGTATGTAAATGAAGTAAAAAGTTGTGTGAGTGAGTGACATGATATGATTATGAGTGGCGATAGTTTTTGCTCGAAAGGTGATCATCAGTTAATATTACTGTATAACACCACTGTGTGATTTATCAAAATAAAGCTTTATCCATAATGGAGTTATACTCTACCACGGCGCCCAAGTTTTATACTTATATCAGGTATGTAAAATCTTAACCGGATTAGGAGTGTACAGATGTTCATTAAATCCCTCATTGGTAACTGTTGTTACTGGTTTCAATAATCTCAGCTATCAGGTACTACAGGCAACCTATATTAATATATGTTACTTAATATAAGATACATATATATATATATGCACATGCAACGTCCTTATTCAACACTGATTAACTTTCGTAGGCAAGATATAAAAAGAGGACATAAATCGCAGAATATTACCACAACTATTCTTGATTATGAGGAAATAGCAGAACAAATGTTGGAAGATTGTCAATACATTGGGAAACGTCGATGCTTATTTATTCGCTATGAATGTTTGGTGCTGAATTCACGCTTCGAAATTCAAAAAATCCTCGGTAAGTAATACATTAGTTCATAGCTCTAGGTAGTAGTATTTATGTTGCATAGTTAATATAACTGTACTTTAAACAGGAATAGAACAACTCAAAGATGTTAATTCCATTTTGTAGAAACACTGACAATTGTTTTCTTTATTCGAAAGGAATCGAATGCATCATTCTAGAAAATTACAGAGCTGTGGTAACAATTTTGTGTTATTTCAAAACGAAAAATGAACATAAGCTTTCATGATTGAACAGATTCACAACTGGCAATAAGAAGGCATACTGAGTCACAATTTGGATTACCTTTCTATGCCGGTAAAACACCCGAAGCTTCTCACTGCAAGACTTGCTTGTGATGGGTATTTGGTATTGGGAGCGGCTTTCATCAATATGATATGGGATGATTTAAATTTTGGAGATTTCTTTTAAGAAATACTTAACCCAAACGTTTGAGTTGCATGTGAAATCCCAAACGCTGGATTCTTCTAAAATACGATATTTTACTACACATTAATACATAGGCATGAAATTATAAGGTGTCTAAGCTGCATACCGTCAAATGCACCATCACTGTACCTCAGTAAGAAAAAAACAACAAAGGTGTGTCAGAGGTGATCCACGTGGGGAAATAAACAAAGTGCGAATGTACAGGTCACGAAAGAGATTCAAATAAACCACACTGAAAACGGAAATGCACAGCAAATACCGTTTAATCTTAAAATGACTACTCCAGAACAAATCGAATGTTTATGCATTAAGTATGTTAAACTGTAAAGGAAATCAGCATGTATGTTTACTGAGTAACAAAATGGACCGAGCACTTCTATCCAATCAACAGATGGGAAAATTTAAAATTCAATTAAATAATTAACATGAACCGTTCCACAAGAGGTGGCAAGCTCTCGTGGCCCAAGTGGTCTAGTGGATAAAGTTTTGTCATTCGAGACTATGGCCGCTAGGTTCGAGCCTCGGTGGGAGCATCATCATTCACTGTGATATGCAGATGCATCCAGTTGACAACTCCCAAACAGGACGAAGTGCGCTTTCTGAATCCAACTTCTAGTCACCATCCACCAATTAACCTCTAATTACATGCCCAGACATCGTCGACCTGAGACTGAGCACTTCGGTCCAATCAATCGACGGAAAAATCTAAAATTGCATTAAATAAATTACTTATTATTAATAAGTAGTTAAATATAAATGAAAACGTAATAAAAAATAAATAAGGAAGAAATGAACAATCCTCAAAGGAACTTCAGCTAACAACTGAGAATATCTAAATTAAATCAGTTCAATAATCAGAATCAGAGTACAGTATTAGCAAGACCAATTGGTATGATGAGAATATTGCCTTTCTAGATAGATGCTGCGGTAAAACTTTCATTTAAAAATAGGTACTCCGTTGACGCTAATTAGCGTTTCAGGTTACCTAAGCATTTATTTTAATTTTTACTTCCTTTCTACTTTCTTAATCTGAAAAGATGGTCAAATGCTTGCGTAGATCAACAGATAGGAGTTGATGAGGATAATTTATAATTTCTGAATACATTGCAAGTGTAACTTAGGCTAAATTTCTGTACCGTTCAATCATTTTTCAGAGGAGAACTCGTCAATATAAAATTTACTGTGCATATTTTAAATAATATTCACGATATAAATGATATTTTATAGAGGTATTGACGTATACTTTTGCAGATTTTCTTGGTTTACCTTGGAGTAATAAGTTCTTGGAAGACGAAAACATGGAGGGCAATATATTTATGCAACACAAGTAAGTCTGTTAAAAACCCCGTCTTAATCAAGATATCATCATTTTTATCTCCTTTAGTTCTCAGAAGAATATAGGGCATCAACCGCACTTCTTTATTGCTTTCGGTTCTCCGCCAGTAGTATCGCCTGGTTCCACGTCTGCCCACATACTTTCATATCCTCCCCCCATGACTAACTTGCCGCTTCCCATTCGGGTTCCACTCGACCGATGACCTGGAGTGTGATGTCACTCAAATGGTGGTTTTCTCAGGGTATGGCCAATCCACCTCCATTTCTTCCTGCATATTTGTTACACAATTGATACCCGGTTGGTTCACTCCCAGATACCCCCGTTGGTGATCTCTTCTGGGCATCTGATCCTGAGCGAAGAAAGTTGTTGATGATAGTCTGCAGTTTGTTCGAGGTTCCCTTCGTCACACAGCGCTTAGTCTCTGATCCGTATAGTAGCAATGACTTCCCACTGGTACTGAACACCAGCAACTTATTTTTCGTGCTGAGCGCTGTTGATCTCCACACAGACTTGAGAGTAATGAAAGCTTGCCTCGCTTTCCCGATCCTTAGCTGTTATATACATATATATATATATATATATATTCGAGTTTTGATTTATTTTTAATGAAGCAAAACCTTGGCACCACTTGCATAAATACAAATTTAGAGTAGGTTTTGTTGTATTCACCAAGTAAAGGCTTCGTTCATTACTATAAATGGTGAGTTTTTATTTTCAATAAACCACAAGTAAGTAAACTTGACTTTTTCACTAACCTTCAATATATGAATAGTGACACACTGATAAATTCCACATATATCTCATATTTAGTGTATTTCTCTGCTGTCGTTATTGTTGTTGTTGTTGTTGTTGTTGAGTAAATTAGGTGCAATATTTTGCAAAATACTGAAAATTACTCACTGAATCCTAAGTACTATTTTCTAATAAAGCAAGGCATCATTACTATTATTATGTATTTACAGAGCTAAAGGAATAAAACGAAATTTATGCGTTTTGCTTTTATACGAATTTTTGATAAATTTCATCGGTGATTCCTTCGTGGACTGAAATCAGCTAGGGAATCACCAAGGAGCACTGAAAAGCTATATCACTATAAATTGGCAGTCTTCATCAAGGCTATCTAACAATGACCAATGAGGCTGGCTATATCTATTGTGGACTGGATGCTCAGTGATGACACCAGCTGTCGGAAACACTATATCTGTAACTCACAGAGGCTTAAATTTACTGATCATTGGATTTCACCGAGGTGACTGAATGATCAACGGGCTCACCTCATTATCCGAAGATCCTAAGCTTGGCAAATGGTTGGTTCATAAGAGTCCCAGATAAGGGTGAAGCGGATACCCAGTGCTCCTAGCTTTTCAATGATTCTCTAGTTGATATTTATTCGTGAATAAAATCTACAGTGGAGGAGAAATTTAATGTCGTAATAACCGTGTCTCGATCCCTAAGTAATTTCAAAAACAGTCGCTTTATTTAAAATTCTCTACTTATAATTGTGGCTAATAACAGACCTCGTGTATTCACGAGTTTATGAATATTCACCGACTAAATTACTGTCACAATTGTAAAGCTCTTTGTATTTTACACGAAGGCTACTAAAATGCTTTTTAGTAGTATAATTTTATATTAGAAAAACGTTTGATTTCTGACTAATTGGTAGCCTGAATTTTATGTACACTGTAGCTAAAAATATTCTCGCATATTTTTGCGAAGCCTTAAGTGATTTTCTCTTTACTCTTTGACAGATACAAAGTGAATTCCTATCAAATTATCAGACCAATTCATAGAGATTCTTTATATTCATGGTCGAAAAAGAATTCAGTATTATCAGAGAAATATATCAAATTTATGAACAAAAATAGCACATTACTGAAAGCATTACATTATCTTACAGAAACAGTTCCACCGAACTATGAAAGTCTATGTCATAAGTGAAAGATTATGAAGACGAAGAAAATGAAGATCTGCAGGAAGGTTTTCTTTCTATGTTGTTGTATTTGGAGTCAATTGAAATCATTCCATTTATTTATTAAATCTTGTTTGTGTAGTGCACAAACTAACTCCATCATACTGACACCAAGCTTTTACGACATGCATTCCTTTTTATTGTGTACAGTCTTTGAATAAATATCCATACGTAAATGATTGGTGTTAAATTTGATTCTATTTTCAGTGGACACTAGTAACTACTGTGACGTGTGTAGTCCTTCCTTTGGTGCAGACTGATTTCCATCAGTCAGGTTTGCAATGTGGCCACCATTGTAGGTAGCTCACCATCACGGTGAACAGTGACTTGATGATATTAGATAGTTGGACACTAGTTACTAGTCCTACAGCAGGTCAATTGCGAGCCAGCCTGAATAGCTCAGTGATAACATCTCTGCCTGCAGTACTCACTAAGTGAAGCGGGTTCGAATCTCAGAAGGGACATCAGTTCCTTCGAGGTTGCAGACACACCTTGTTAACTGGTGAGTGCCAACTAGCACGAAACCTAGATACAGTCAAGACTGCCTGCCGATCGCCTTCAAATATCTAATTCGGCTTTATGTTGAAATAGTACTTTTACCTCAATATCATCCAATATTTCAATATAGGCTACTGAAGCATTCATTAAAAATGGTTCTTTCTTTATGATGTAACTTTGAGTAGTTTCCCTGATCCATCAGATTCATCATACAGTGGAATAGTTCTACTCACATTCAAGATAACAGTTCGCTCATTTCCACTTTATCATAGTACAATCGTTTTGGTCCGAAACTTTAACATAAAATTTTATTAAAAACCGATATGATACTATTTAGCGCACCAATTAAGCCTAACGATAACGTTTTGTCAAAATTAAATCTAGAATAAATACCGCCCTATTGTCTTGGTGTGAAACACCAACTTGTATAGCTATATACAATCAGGGTAGGCGTTGGCAGTTTGGTGTTTCAGGCTACATTTCTGTTATGAGTGAAACTATACAGAAACATCATCACCCAGTGGGGACTAAGTAAACCCAGTCAAAAACAAGTCCCAAAGACTACGTTACCAGCAAAACAAAACTTCAATGTTTTTAATCTCGGTAACATCGGAGGATCTGTTCAAGCGAACCATATTACCGCGGTAAGTAATTTGCTGGAGATACTTCAATGGGAAGTCATAAAGAGCTTTGAAACCGAGTTACGAAAAGAACTCTCTTATTGCTACTAAATGACAAATAAATTTTGATCTTTGTTGTCAATTAACATAGCATGTAAGATCCGGATTTTCAACTCCAATGTGAAGTCAGTCAGTGCTGCTGTACGGATCAGAGACTTGCACTGCGCGTCATAAAGAGCATCTCAAGCAAACTGCAGACCTTCATTAACAGTTGTCTTCGCTCAATACTCAAGATCAGATAGCCAGAAAAGATCAGTAACACAGATCTCTGGGAGCGAACCAACCTGGCAGGAACCGATTGTGAAACAAATAGGCAAGAAGAAATGCAGATGGATTGGCTGGCCATACTCTGAGAAAACAAACCATCAAGTGACATCACTAGACAAGCCATTGCTCGAGTGGAACCCGAATGGGAAGCGGCGAGTTGGTCGTCAGTGCAAGGGTAACTTGGAGGAGGTCATGTGAAGAGGAGATGAAAACGTGTGGGCAGACTTGGAGCCAGGTGAAAACTCTAGCAGAGAACCGAACGCAATGGAGACGGACGGCTGAAGCCCTATGTTCCTCTAGGAATTAAAGGAAATAATAATAATATGAACCCATGAGCAACCCTTCTAATCATTACCTGATGAATATATTTTGAAAAAAAAGAAATAACAGATTGAGCAATGAAATGTGCATTCCTTTTCAGTTAGTTCCTCATCATGGGCTGGCTCCAGACTAATATATAATTTTTTACACCAATCAAGTGGTTATTTTAGTTAATCACTTTAAGGTTTAGGCGGTTATTAAAGGTCATTAAAATGAATAACTAATAGATGTTGGTAACAAGATATCAAAGTTTTAAGAGAAGGGTGAAAATTAATTACGGAATGCAAAGTAGGTTGATTTTTTAGGCCTTCGCGATAAGTTACCACATAATCAAGAAATTTGTAAAATAGCAGTGATGACTTAAAAGAATAGGATGACTCAGAAGAGTTACGTAAAATGCAAGCAAGTTAGTAGAATTAGCTGGAATTGTAAACACTAACAAAGTCAAAAGATAGACCAAGGAGAGTGGAAAACTCGTTTTTAAAAACTTATCACTTAATATGTAGTTGGCCATGGCAAAGAAAGGGGAAGCACAAATTTCTTTTGAACACATACAGTTGGCTTATTCAGATAAATTCCGATTACCCCTGCTGTGTATAAAAGTCTTACTCGTAGACCATGCGGCGAGAGGTTGGGCGATATACGATTTGATGTCCAGTATCGACAAGATGAGCTAGTATTGAGCTGCGTATAACTTTATTCGGACCTTGGACAAACCAAATGATGAACATGCCTGATCATACGCCCTATGTAACTAGCTCCACATGGGCAGTTAAACTGGTAAATACACATGGAAGAGGCGAAACAGGGAAGTCTGTCTTTATTTCCTGAACTGAGTATTGGTCGGCTAGTGAATACACAGCATAACTAAGCTGCACAGAAAGTCTTTTTGAAGGCCCTTCTCAGACGTTGTGATAAGATCTCACTATTGACATCACCCGTAAGCTGTAACCTTACGAAGGTTGACTTTTTGGGGACAGTCGGCAACTTCGTTTTATACAATCTTCTCTCGAGGTGAACCACCACTCTTCAAATAATGTGGCAATAAATATGACTGCATACATGCATATATATATCAGTGCACTATAAATGTGTTCTCATCATTCAGTATGGTCTTCTCAAACCTTTTGTCTGATGAAGTGTGGAGCAGTCTTACTCCACCTACTACTGATGGTATGTGTGATAAAAACAGCTTAAGTCGATATGTTTATATTTCTGCCAAAAGAAATCAGGAAAGACAATGCAAACGATTATACAAACCACACGTAGAGTGACGCGTAAAATCTGAAAACACAGGATTTATGTTGAATACGGTATCATAATAAACACAAATTAATCGAATATAATGTGCAAACCCAAAACTGTAAGTTGTCTGTGACTGAATGCCATCAAAAGCGCAGTCAGCGTACGCCAATAAGAAAAACAGCAAAGCTGTTTCAAAGGCAATCCACGTGTAGATTTAAACAGCGTGCAGATACTGGCCATAGAATAAAAGGATACTAATAAGCAATGTTCAACAGTAGTGGGTACATGAAGAAGGCAAGTGCAGTAGATAATGTTTACAAGAAAACAATTACTATACATCAAATAGATAAGTGAATTGAACTTCAAATGCAGTCGTGGTTAAGAAGTAGGGAATGTGACTCATACTACTTACTAGTGGTGAGTAGTATAAATTATAACACAAAAGAAGGAATAACAAGGGGAAGATAGGAAAGGAATTTACACCACCGCTTCAAAACGAGCCTGGTTTTCCTAGTCCACTTTCTAACAGGATAGAGAAATGTTGCAATTTACTCTTGCCACATTATTTAGCTATATATCCTCAAATGTGATTACCTTTCCTGAATACCCTCTACTAGGCAGACTTTAGGTACTTCGCAGTTGATTACACCTCTAGGCGTCTTGATATCCACCTTTTGGATTGACCCATACAGCTCGCTGTATCAACTGTAACTAGTCCTTTTGTCCAACTATCACGAGTTGAAGGTTCCGCAGTCACTGATTCCAGGTTTCCCACTCACAAGCTGCAATGTTGTTTAACCCACTTTGCACGTGATTGTTAGATCGTTTTGCACTCTCTCCTCCACAGAATTCAAAACATACCAGCATGGAGTTGTTCTTGTTTCCATTGGGGACCTGGCGGGAATTTCTGGTTAAGAGAATGTGGTTTGGAATCAGCATATCTAAATGACTCAGGTTATCGTAAACAGGTAAAAGAGGTCTTCTTCTTCTTCCGTCAAATAGGTTATTAGCGATTTGTCTGTAAGCACTTTCTCTCTCGAGATCGCACTTAATAATCGACGCAGGCTTCTAATCACCCTTTCCCGCACTCTGCCATGGTGACTAGCGAAAGGTGGATATAAATACCATTCTATATCATCGCATTCCTCATACGATAGCTATCCAACTCTGGTAAGACTCGTCATAATTCACGATCAGCTCCAGCAAAATTTGTACCTTGGTCACTGTACATCTCGTTTGGGGTCCCTCTACATTTCATGAAGTGTGAAAGCATCATCATAAAGGAATCGACAGAACCGCTCGAGTTTTTGGACAGGTAAATATGCATCCATATGTTTTATCTACTGTGCGTCCCCGCCTGACACTAAAGGGGTCGAAGTAGTCTGCTCCACTGATAGAAAATGGAAAATCTGACGTATTCCTTGCTACTAGTAAGTCTTCCATCAATTGTTTGATGGGTTTTGCTAACCCACGCATCTGTCCACCACATGTTCAACTACTGCTGCTCCTCTTGGTACCCAATATTGCCACCGTAATGCTGACAAAATATAAGCTACTCCCATATATCCTTCAGTTTCATGATACTGGCGAATAATAACTTCCGTGAAAGGAGGAGTTCCAGATAAAATGACTGAATGTATTGGTGAACTTGACGGTCTATTATTACTCAGTCGTCCACTGAAACATACCGAGTTATGTAAGTTGATGAGGTGCAGCTGTTTTGATACATTGAAGGCATAACTTCTATTTACTCTCTGAAATGCATTCTTCTATAATCCTTTTGACTTCACCGAATCCTCGTCTTTGGACGTATCTAAGAATATACTCCTCCACTTCTGATATCTCATTTTTATGTAAAGGGCTTTTTATTAGACGCTCACTTTAAAAGCCTGTAAACCTTCCTAACCAGGCTACCGTTCTATGGTTTGTCCAGGCTGAGAAGTACGACAATGAGGTGT